CTGAGTGTATCTAGTTTAGAATATTTATTTACTACTTTTACAAGATTATTTTGATATTATCATTATTGGTAAAATAAAATAGAGTACCTATATTTTTTTTAAATTTGATGGTATAATTCATTATTACATTCGAGTTCATTGTTATTGTGCTTTAATGACAAGCATTTTATTTTATTTTACCTATTTATGTGGAAATTAATTTTGTGGAAGCTATTGTGTTGTGTGACGAATCCACCCACAATTTACAGTAGTGAATTAATAATACCTAATTCTAGCACTTCCTAATGTCTATCCCTTTGTATGTCTATATGTACATTTTACTGACACACCATACGCACAAGTAAAATATACAATTTATATACCAAACTATAACCTAACCATTGTAGATTATCCAAATATATACAACAATATATTCATGAAAATTAATTACTCTATTATTATAGGATTGACGCAGCAAAATTCGAAACGGTAAATTAAACTGGACCCTTTTGGACATAGAAACGCGTTTCGCAAAATAGCAATAAATAGCTTGTATTTCCTTTTTATCTACATAGGTTCATTACGCGTATTATAATACAGTGATACGAGGATTAACATCTGTTTCATCAAAATATGTATAATGAATATTATAATTGATGTGATTTGCAGGTATAATACTAATATTGTTCATAGTAAATTTCAAATCTATTCATAAAAAGCATATTTATTTATTTTTTTAATGCTTACACAACAAAATTTTGTTCTGAAATGATTTATCATATTTTATTTGTATATATTTTTTTATTTTTTTTAATATAACAAAATATACAGACAAAAATATGGTATTTTTTTCAAAAAGAAAACTGTTAAATCCATTGTGTAAGTTATATAATATGTATGTTATGGATTATGTAGGAATTATAAACAATATTTGGACACTAATCACAATGTTCGACTAATTTTAGCAAAGTTAAATAATAATTTCAAAACTATAACATTTTCTACAATGCTCGAAAACAGTATAAGTAAGTTCTGAAGCAAAATTCTGTGGACAATGTTACTTGAATGAAAAATTAAATTATTATATTAATAAAAATACTGTAGAAATTGACCAATTACAGTGAATAAAGGATAATATAATTTCTATACACGTAAGACTGTATGTAAAAAGTAAAGGCTTTAGTGTAGTTATAATAGTTGTTGAAAATTTCACAACTCAAATTGTCATAATAGTTATTTGTTTAAGAATAAATAAAATTGGTTATAAGTTATTGTATATAATTTATTTAACACAATTTAATATTTTAATACCATTACCATTTAAATATTCGAAATAATAGTTTATATAAAAATAAAATTACTTGTTATTATCACATTTTTTGAAATGTATTTCATTAATTGAAACCTAAAACTAAAGTATTTTATTTTATTTTTAATTTTATTAATTTTAATCAATAATATTTGATCATTGTGCAAAATGTCCATGCAATATAGACTTTTTCCTGTACCTTGGTCTTTATACGATTAGGCATGGTGCTTAAAGTAAGATTTTCTACTTTACCTACAAGATTACTATAATATCTATATTATAGGTACTCTATCTAAAAACTTGTACACGAGAACTTATACAAACAAAATAAGGTGAATTATATTTTTATTAACAAGCATTGTATATTTTGTCTAACTGACTAATGACCATGCACTGCTGATGATAATAGTCAAATGTAAATAATGATACACAAGTTTTTCAAATTTACTTAATTTGTCTTTATTGTTGAATAACAAGATCATGATTATATTCCTGTCTTTAATCGTTTAGGTGTATAAAGGACTTTCTAATCGTAGGGTTCAGATTAACTTTCAATTTCTACAGAACCTTATTAACGATGATATTAATTATCCTCAATTATTACTTTCGAGGTTAAATATTTGTGTTCCATCAAATTTAACTCAAATTACTGTTCATCTTTACTTTTATAAATTAAAACCAACTATGCTAAATTTTGTTACAATAATCAGACTAATAAGAAATCTCAGTAGTTAGGATCTTTCCATATTTTCCAATAAATTATAATATTATTTTGTTTTGGAATAACATTACATTATTATTTTTTTTTTATTATTACGAATTTTACGTTTTATTTATTATTTACTTTTCATATTATAAAAATACTTAAATAAACGGATTTTATTGCATTCTAGGAAAAATTATGCTAATAATATTATATACTGTTTGTCTAACGTAAAATTTCGTATTTTATATATTATACCTATATTATTATAAGCATATCAAACAAATTAATTTTAATATCAAAATGTAATGTATTTTTTCATATTTACTTGCTCTATTATTAATTGTTGGGAATTTTTTCAAATTTTAAATTACAATAAAAAAATATTAAAAATAAACTTAACTCATTTATTAGATGTTAGTGTAAAAACTTTAGGTAATATATGAATATTATTAGAAAATTAATGATGACTAACAATTATTTGTTAAGTTTTGTACTATATATAAATACTTAATGTAAATAATTAGCATCATACATAATATGTTTTGATAATCATTTAAAATAAACTCATTAGTCATGATATGTTACGACAAAAACAAAATAGATTTTGAAGACATTAAAATTTACTATTTTATTTATTATACTTTTATTTACTATTTTATTATTATTGCCTTTGAAGTGGCGTTTTTGTTGTATATCAAATTTTAAATTAATAATTAAGTTTTGTAATATGATAATTAATTATTAGGATGAACTCAAGTGATCATAAGTTTTGATGAATTGTTCTATACTCAACAATTTAACTAAATAAATAGTTGATAAGTCGCGATACAAACGTAACTATATTATGGATTCATAAAAATGTACTAAAAGAATATTTAACAAATATTTTTTTTTGTTTTGTTTTTAAACATCAAGCTGGTATAAATAAACATATCATCAACAAATTAATAAAAAAAAAAAATGAAACTTTAATGATTTGACTTATTATAATAACTATTAGAGTACCTATTTTTTAAGCTCAGTTAAATTCTCTTATTTAAAAAGAAATCCATACAAGCTTATATTGTCAATAGTTTATTTTGGGAAACTAAATATGTATAAGTGACAATGGATATTCTAATATTTTATACATCATAATGACTACTACGTTATATTATAATTGCATTATAATATAATTTTAAAATATTCAAAAAATGTATTAATCATAAAAATAATAATAATAACTATAATTATTTTTATTGATAAGTCACGGTAAGAGCAACTTTTCAAAAGTCTCGAGTTAATTTTTCAAGCACAACAATTAAAAATGAATATCATACAATTTTAATTACAAAATAATTCACAAATTTTAAAAATCTTAATGAATTTTGCTGAAATTTTAACCTCAAATACATATAAGTATTTGTATATTTTTAATATTTTTAATTGCTTTAAGAAATTAATACATGGAATTATGAAATACATTTTTAAATTTTTAGATGTAGGGAATTTAAGATTTCAAATCAGTCGTGGTATTTTAAACAAATTGTTTATACAATGACAATTTAAGTAAAGGTAGTGTATTCTGAATTTCTAAGATTAATTTGAATATTAGACACAAATTTTTATATAAACATTTTAAGCTAAGAGTTTTAGAAAATTGGATATAAGAATGATTTTATTACATTATTTCAATTTGAAATTATTATTCATGAAAACTTGAACCGTTTAGATTTAAGGTATAATATTATTATATTATGTTGTATACTCAAAATATTAAGATAAGTTTTAAGCAATTTTTATTATTAATTGCAAGGTATTTTTTTACTAAAAACGGATTAAACCTATTTTACGCATTAATAAAAGGAAAATTAGTAGTAGCAATGTAAATATATAATAAAATATATTAAACGATGTAGACTAATAGACCATTTTGCTCGATTTTATTCAAAATCGTTTTTCGTACGCAATATTTTATTGTCAATTCGAGTTTAACATTTCTATTACAATGAACTACTTAATAACTATAGGTACCTCCACTTAATACGTCTTGATACCTACTATAAACAATGATTTTATCATACATTGATCAAAAAATAAACTTAAAAAGCCTATGAAAATATTTAAAATGTCTACACATATTACAACTAGAGCAATAATATTTTTAAGCTATGATAATCTTTAGTAAATGTTATTACAAATATTTGGTAAAAATTTCAAGTCTATACATTCATTAATTGTTGAACTAAAACAAAAAACTTGATTAGTTTTCTTAATTAGATAACTTTTGAAAGTCATAAATTGTTTTCTTTCTACTTTCATTATTGATTAAACTACATAGTATTTGATCGACTAGGTCTAATATTCTACCAAAAACCACTTTTAAATTTTTAAATTGAAGCATTTTTAACTACCCTGAAATATATAAGTGAGAGCAACAATAAAAATTACATTACTATCGTTTTGCTCAGAATCTAAGTATATTTTTATACATTTCTTGTGTATAATAACTATAATATTATACTCTAATTATTACTAGTAGACAGATCATTCTGGAATTTAGAATTTACAGTACGTCTTGTCCTACAATTCTTACGATTTGACATAAATCATTTACGAGCAATCAAATCAATTGGCGTATTTTCAACTAGCGGAATCGATTAAAAACAATCTCATATAAAAAAAAAATATATATATATATATAGCCGAAATTCATGGTTAGTCCTAACCATTCTTAACTGGTATTATGCCAGCCGCCAAAATTAACATTAGCCAATTGCTGGATTAGCCCTTAACATAAATAAGTCGCGCTTAGTCGGAAAACGAAGCCAAGTACAAGTGTCAAGTATGTATATAATATGCTGCAAAGGATATTACGAAACAGCGCTGTTTGACGTTCAAATAAATGTTCAAGTCAAAAAATACGTTGAGGTTCTCGAAACCACTTAATTCAAAAATATCGCCGTCATATGAATCTATCTCGGATTCATTAACGATTTACCATAATATATTATATTATTTACTCACCGGTGAAGGTGTAGAGTGGCGTAAACGGCACGGCCAGCCCACAGAGCATGATGTCGGACACGGCCAGGTTGACGATGAATATGTTGGTGACGGTGCGCATGTGCTTGTTGGCCCACACGACGTACACGACGAGCACGTTGCCGAACACGCCCAGCGTGAATATGAGTAGATAGACAAACGAGAAAGCGGACTGAAATACGTAGTCCTCGACATATTCTCGTTCGATGGCCTCGCTGTAGTTGACGGCGTTCGTGCCGTTCGACCCGTGCCCGGCCGATATGTATATGGGCGGAAACACGTTAGGGGCGACGTTTTGCAGCGCCTCAAACCCGCCGCCGCCACTGCCGTTGATCATTTCGGCCGTCAGCAGCCGACTGTTTTTGTCTCTTTAGTTTTTCCGTACAGATCCTCAATGCGACGACAGATAATGAATTTCTTTCCTCTCCCTCCCTTCCTCCACGAATCTCTATGCTCGAAGATTCCCGTCGAATTTGACACCAGTCAGGTTTTTCTTCTACCGCTGCCGATTTCCGGGCGTTTCTTCTACACGCCTGTACGCCACCACGACCGTTTCGTCAATCATTCCGACGAAGAATCTGTCTCATACATTTACGTCTCCGGCCGGTCGATCCGTCATCCTGTAAATAATATAATTAAGACATTATATTTTTTTCCTCATATATATATATTATACATTAAATGTTTGGAGAATTCAGTGGACGACATAATCTTTTACAATAAAATTATAATAAAATATTTATTTGAGGTGGTACACAAAAGCTACTTTACCACTTGACAATATAGTAAAAAAGCAAATAGTTTTTCCCGTAAATAACGTCCCAAAATGGTGTTTTTTAGAATAATATGACATATTATATATATATATATATATATGTGTGTGTGTGTGTGTGTGTGTGTGTGTGTGTGTGTGTGTGTATACCGAGCTGCTAAACACATTTTTCCTGGCGTGAACACGAGTCGAACTTTTTGAAATTATTTAATTGTCAACAATACATAGATACTATTATATTAATATCTAATAGTTATATAATATCATTAATTAAATTTATTTATTACTAATGGCATGCGAACGTTAGCTTGTTGTCTGTTGAGTACTGGACTGAAATTCGGCATACCATTTTAAATGAGATTCTATCATGTAGCAACAGATACAACTTGCACAGATAGTTCGAACATAAAAAGTCTATACTAACGAATATTTATCGACAGTGACGTAAGAATACAATACAATTATACCGTTTTAAATCACTAAGGCAATGGTCGTGCGAAGAATATCAGTAATAAAACTCACTACCAAACATTTCTCCAGAAAACAACGGCGGTTAGAAGAACTACTAGGAGATTAAAATCGTTTCAAATAATGCGTTCATTTTGTTTCACCGAATTCGACCATTCACGGCACTCTAAAATAGTTTTTGGTAAGTGGTAATGTATAACGTATACCGTATACCTAATAATTTTTTCCACATAAATATTAACAATGCATATTATAATTAAAGTTGTATCATAGTTGGACGGTCATACTGGAACTATGTTCATGATAACATATTATTTACGATTTTTTCTCATTATTTTATTTTCCCATATTTCACTGTCATAATAATTACAGTTGTAACAACTTAGTCACTCTAGTCGATTTGTCCAAATTCTTGTTTATAATCCGCATATTGTAAACTGCTGACTAGTTTTATTTGGTTTAACAACATTAACTTAATCGTTTATATTTTTTGAATTTATTAAATTCACATATTTTTGTATAAACTTTACAAATCTATTAGAATAAAAAATACCCCTGATCGATCCGTCTATTTTCGCATCTTGAAATTCAATATATTTTATAATAAAATATACTGTTTTATTTGTACTATATAAAAAGCTTTTAATATTAATATCTGTAAAATATTAAAATATATATCAAATTTATTTTATTTTTTTAGTACGTTCGTGTACGTAACTACAATTATTTTGTAGTTCATTGAAAGCATCGCATCTAACCTATAGATATGGTTATACATATATAGACAATTTTACCCGTCATATGGATGCCTTAGCCTTACATATTTTTAGACGCTCCTACGACATTATTTTTTCTTTGAAGCCAGATATGTTCCACTCCGTGCACAGACTTTATCGACATTATCAAATATATTATTTTCTGTAACAGCTTTTAACAAAGTTTTGAGGAAAAGAATAAGAAAATATCAAACCCACTCCTTGTTATATTATATCATATTGTATACATGCCAAAACAATACGTTTATAACTATATATCATACCACAGAATCATCACGTGACAAAAATAATAGTATACACTATACGTTGTATACAACACCTACTTATAAGAAAAAAAAAGGTCGTATTTATTTTTAAGCACGTGTAACATAATATAATAAGTAATAACAATATAACACGGTACAAAAAATAATAAATACGTAAAATAAACTTTTCTTTGTTGTATACTTACATATACTAATACCAATGTATAGAACAACGCAAACAGCGCAATGGCAAATAAAAATGTCTACACTTTACCGAAATAATAATATTTATGATTTATCTAATTAAATTGTATAATGTATATATATTATTACTAATGATATACTATAAGAGAAATAGAATACTATTCTACCTAATTCCTAACTAAACAAAATAAAAGCTTATGTACAGTAAATTTATTATTTAATTAACTTTGATGTAACACAAGTATAATATTAGTCATTGAATAATTTTATTATAATATTAGGTTGAATAACTAGCTTATCAAAAAGTAGAATATGATGTGTAGTTGTGTTTAGAATTATTTTGATATTTTTTTCAGTAATAAAAACTTTTAGTTCGTTTATTTGTAGTATAAATCATTGTATAAAACATGCCAAAACATAGGATAAACGTTATAAGAAATATATCTTAATTTTAAGTGTATTAGTCTTGTTTAATAAAATATGTTCATTAATAATTGTGATTAAAATAAGAATAATTAAGGTGTTAAAACTTTCAAAGAATGATGATAATTTAAGAAATAATAAACCTGAGTTGACAGAAATCTTATCACGAATGTTGAATAGATAGTTTAAATTTTAAATGGTAGATTAAGCAAAAGCTTGGAAAATGTTAAAATTGGAATAAAGTGTTTACAATATTTGAATTAACATTACACCTATATTATACAAAGAAACAGAAATTTTCGATGACGTATTTTTTTTTATCATAGTAGACTTGAATTATTATTTATAAGTTATTCATTCTCGTTATTAGTAAGATGACAATCAAAAAAAGCACACAATTTTGAACAGTTTGAATAGATTATTGACATAAAAATAAACGCATTTTATGAATAGTTATAAAGATAACTTATGCATTTTTAGGGAATGCTATCAACACAAAAATGAGAGTATTTTGAGAGATCGTTATAGTAATATTTATATAGATATGATTAAATCCTTAAAAATGATTATATTTATTAGCATGGTTCTTTAAATTTTTTTATTTGGGATAAAAAATTTATTGCAAAGATGTCATATTTTTTGAAAGCAATCACAAATCAGCAAAAAAAGAGAACGATGAAAAATTGAGAAATAGGAAATTTTAGGTAACCTAACCTTTAAAAATAATAATACAAAGAAAAATATTAAATCTCCATGAATATACTTAAATTTATTGTTCATGTTTTAATAAAATCCAATTTTATTAACATTTGAATTTCAAATGTCTTAAAAAAAATTATGGCAATACAATTTTTATTTCAATAAAACTACTTATATTTAATCTTCTATATAATTTAAAATCTAAACTATAAGTATTAAACATATCATAAATTTTCAATTAAAAAATAATTTATAAATTTATATGGTTTTAACATAGAAAATTTGAACTTTAAATGCTAATAAAAACAATCACGCTTAAAAATTTTAAATACTTTTAAATTTCTAAATAAAAAGAAATATTATGGAATCTTGGATTATATTTATTTATTTAATATCAATAGTTTTCAATTTTTATTTATTCAACATAACTAAATTTTACCTGGTAAATTAAATTTATCAAAAAATTATAAATACAGTCAAATTTGCTTATAACGATCTTTAAGGGACTTAGAGAATTTGATCGTTATAACCAAACTTCGTTATATCTGGATTATAAACAGTAACTTGATTTTTTTGAAAAAATTAATTTATTAAACACATTTTTTACTGTATTGTTTTATTTAATATTTTATATTTTAACATTAAAAGTATTTATAATTTTTAATGAAAGTACACACATATATAGTACATGTATGTTTACGATTTGTTTGAAAAATAAACTGTTACAGTGCTTTGTTTATAATTTGAATAACATTTTTTAACAAAATTAGAAATATTTTTTAATGTCGTTAATACTTTTTGTATATTTATATCGCTGTTTACCGAAGCAAAAGTACGTACCTGATCAATATAAAAATTAACTTCCAAATAGACGGTACTTTATAAGTATGCCGTATACAATTTATCTACGTATCGTGCTAGACACATTATCTGTTACAGATAAGATTAAGAATTATTGCTTCGAACGAAATCAAATTTACTACTTGTGCATGTATTATTAATTGTTAAAGAGTAACATAAAAAACCATTTTCATTTCAAAATAACATCATTATATCCGGATTATCGTTATAATCGATATCGTTATATACGACTAAAAGTACTACACATAAGATATAAAACCAACCAAATACATGCTTGAAATTGTATTATTCGGAATATCGTTATATATCAAAGACATCGTAATAAGCGAATTCGATAATAAAACAATTAAATTTAATCACTGATAGAAATTCGAATCAAATTTTTTTAGCATTTATTTTGGTTAGAATATTAGCAATTTTAGTTCACATCACCACTAGTATTACATGTAAACTTGTATTAGTTGGCAGTGAGAGTATAAGTATAAGGCATACAATGGTTATGAAAATACATTGTCTAAAGGTTCTTTCTGTCACTAACAAGTACACGTTCAACAATATATTTATATAAATAGGCAACGTTAAATGTTTCCCAAGAAAAAATGCCCGATAAATAAATTCCTGCGCAGAAAAACATTTGTTAAATTCAACCACGATGAACCGCCATCAATGATTCTCTAAAGGTCTATACGACTATACCTTTATCCAGGAGTTTTTAATATAAAAGACGTACGAAATATCATTGTACAACTCTAGTACATTTATATATTTACAGGCATACACGTATGAAGTAACGAATAAGTCATCTGGGTGTTTAGTTTTCTGAAAGAATTTCTAATTTCTGTATTCTTAATGAGCTGCAAATACTTTCTAACTATGATATTATATTTGTACGATGCGTATTTCAGTTAGATCTTTAATAGATTATGTTTATAAATATATAAAACATTATATATAACATTCCGTCTTTCCGTGAATCTATATAATATCATAGGCACATTTTTGGGATTTAAAAATGAGCCACAGCACGTTTGGCCAATTTATTCCAAAACGCGAAAAGTTTGGAAATTATAACCTATAGTACCTAAATATATAAACATATAAGTAGATTTTTTATGTGAACTATTACTTATTGTTTTAAATAACAGATTGTAAATATATTTTAATATCTAAAA